TGCATCAAACTACATGTCCTTATTCACCACAACAAAATGGATTTTTTTAGAGGAAAAATAGACATATATTAGAGGTGACAAGATCACTTTTGATAGTTGGTAATGTTCCATCTCATTTATTGGGTGATGTTGTGAGCTCTTCCGTTTATTTAATTAATCTAACTCCTTCTAGTGTGCTTAACTTTCGAAGGCCTTTTGATGTGTTGTCTGATCATTGTATCCTTCCTCCCATAGTTTATTTACCACCTCATATTTTTGGATGTGTTATATATGTTCACTTACACCCACATCAACGTACAAAGTTTGAAGAATGAGCGATCAAATGTGTTTTTGTTGGGTATGGATCAACTCAAAAAGGTTATCGTGCTTACCATCCATCATCAAAGAAATTTTATATTTCTATGGATGTGATGTTTAATGAACATGAATTTTTTATGTTGATTCTCCACTTCAGGGAGGCAATGAAAGTGAAGTGCATAATCATGATGTTAGTATGTTTGATATCTCAAATATCAAATTATCGTGTGAAAATCATTCTGCAGGAAGTGAGCCAATCCTAAATATGGACACTTCTCTTTTGAATAATACAATATCTTCTGATCATAACCAATTGGCTCAATCTTCTCCACAAGTTCAACTTGACTCTTCAGAGGTACCTTATGATCCTATCTCTGATAACACTAATTTAGATTAAATTGATCATGGAATTAATTTTTGTCTGTGTGAGACCACCAGCACACCAAACACTCAGTCTACTATTGTTCAATATATTCTTCCACCTCATTCTAACCGTGGTCAACCTCCAGCTAAATATGAACCATACCTCCAAGCCAAAGTTAAATATCCCATTAGTAAATATGTGTCATCTCACAGGTTATCTCAGTCATATGTATCATTTGCATCTCAATTATCTTCAAATTTTATTGCTAGTAATATACAGGAAGTTTTGGCAGATCCTAGATGGACCAAAGCAATGGTTGAAGAGATGACAGCTTTAGAAAATAACAATACTTGGGATCTTGTGTCCTTACCAAGTGGGAAGAAAATTGTGGGTTGCAAATGGGTCTTTACAATTAAGCATAAAGTTGACGAAACTATTGAGAGGTATAAAGCAAGACTTATGGCTAAATGTTACACTCAGTCTTATGGTGTAGATTACCAAGAGACGTTCGCACCGGTAGCCAAGCTCAACACTGTGAGAATACTTTTGACGCTAGCTGCAAACCAAGATTGGCCTCTTCTACAATTTGATGTGAAAAATGCTTTTCTACACGAAGAACTTTCAGAAGAAATTTATATGGATTCTCCACCAGGTATGACAGATTCAATTGGAATGAAGGTTTGCAGATTAAAGAAGGATCTATATGGATTAAAACAATCCCCAAGAGCATGGTTTGGAAGGTTTACCAAGTCTATGAAGGCTTTTGGCTATAGAGCAAGTAACTCTGATCACACCTTATTTTTTTAGAGAGGAAAAGGAAAAATTACAGCTTTGATTATATATGTAGATGACATGATTGTTACAGGAAATGGCCAAGATGAGATTTCTAGTTTACAACAATACCTTGCATCTGAATTTGAGATGAAACAACTTGGAAACCTCAGATATTTTTTGGGTATTGAAGTTGCTAGATCAAAACATGGTATTTTTCCATGCCAAAGAAAATATACTATTGACTTACTATCAGAAATTGGGCTGCTTGGGAGTAAACCAGCTGATACACTAATTAAACAAAATCATAAACTCTTTCAATGCTCAAATTCAACAAGCATAAAGAAAGGAAGATACCAAAGGCTGGTAGGAAAATTAATTTAGTTATGGCATACACGTCCAGATATCACCTATGCAGTGAATGTTATTAGTCAATTTATGCATGACCCACAAAAGCTACATATGGATGTTGTTGAGAGGATTTTGAGATATTTGAAGTCTGCTCCGGGAAAAGGAATTTTGTTCTCAAATCATGGAAACTTAAAGGTAGAAGGGTACACTGATGTATATTGGGCAGGTTCAAAAGATGATAAAAGATCTACCTCTGGATACTTTACTTTTGTAGGAGGGAATCTTGTAACTTGAAGGAGTAAAAAACAACTTGTAGTAGCAAGATCTAGTGCTGAAGTAGAATTCAGAGGCATGGCACTAGGTGTATGTGAACTTTTGTGGATTAAAAACGTTCTATCATATTTGGGCTTTAAACCAAATGAAGTTATGAGTTTGTACTGTGACAATACTTCGGCTATAGCAATTGCTCACAATCCTGTGCAATATGATAAAACAAAACATGTGGAGATTGATAGACATTTCATTAAAGAGAAGCTTGAAGCTGGAATAATTTTATTTCCTTTTGTAAGATTAGAATTGCAGTTGGTGATGTTCTCACCAAAGGAGTGTCAAGAAGATTATTTAACGAGTCTTTATTCAAGTTGAGAATGTGTGATATCCATGCACCAACTTGAGTGGGGGTGTTAAGACATGTCAAATATTCTATTAAAGAATATTAGACAATCAAATATCGTGTTAGTTATAATTTAGAATTATCATAATTTGTGCAGATTTGTGCACCTGTCATTCTTTTAATAGATGAAAAATTATAAGATCCTTGTATGTATATATATATATATATATGGTACTCTACTCTTTGAAATAATACATCAAAATTATTCTTTAAACCTTTTATTAAAGATAAAGTACATATCAAATCAACTTAAGATATGGTATGGTATGGTTCTCTCGAAGCTTGGTGCAGGACGCACTGCAAACATGACCAAATCGAAACAAGGAAACCGAATACATCAAATAAAATAAAATCAAACAAAATATTGTTTTTTATTAAATGGTCTGTGTTAGAACGGTAGAGAGAGAAAAAAGATTTAAACCTAGTGCACGGACCGAACGATCTAAGAACGCCTGCACCAGATGCTAGTGAACGTCTGCACCAGCCACCTGAGAACGTACAACAGAGCACTGTCGCACTGAACGATCAAGTACCGTTGCACCGAACGATCAATGAAGTGACCAGAGAAAAAAAAGAACAAAACTCAAAATGCACTGAAAAAGCTGTATATTATTCACTAACTCACTTACACACTTTTTTTCCCCAAAAATAGGTACAGGTGTTCAATTTTTATAATAGAAAAATACAATTGCCAAAGTTAGTTAAACAACGGTTGTCTAGGCTTACAAACTAACAAACTTGGCTTACACTCTAACACTCCCCTCTAAGCCAAGCACCTAGGGAGGTAGCACCCATCCTCTTATTCGAGAAACGCCAGCCTACCTCGCGCAGCGTTGGGACCAAATGATGTGTGATTGAACGGTGTGTTCGGTGACACGTAGAACTGCACTTGCAAGTCCGCTGAGCAATTGTCCCTGCCAATCACGTGGCGGAGGCAGATGCCAATTTGAGCGGGCTGTGCGACCGAGACCGAACGATGCGATAGAGCAACCGGTTGACGTGACCGAACGGCGTGAGTGCATGAACTAAGTGCGGGGATGCTAGTTTGGCACTCTTGTGAGTCGTCCTATGTGGTTAAATGAATGTTGTGGTTGGGAGCTGTGGTGTTCACCGCCATGTCTAGGTTCCCCTGTGACTCCCCATGCCTCTTTGGCAGCACTCCCTTCAACGCTTTTCTTCCCAACTAGAAGATCAACTAACTTCTAGGTTCCATTCTTCCCAATGGAATCAACTTCTTCTTTCATTGCATCCCTCCACATAGATTTCTTCAAGGCTTTTGCTCCACCGATCGGTTCTGCACCTGCAAACATAACTATGTGCACTAAATCTTCCTCATCACCAGTCTGTGTATCAGTATACATCTCACATTCAAAAAATCTTTGTGGTAGCTTATGTCTCCTTCGTGGTCTAGTAGCTTTAGAGTGATGCTCACTATTTTGCACACCTTTACTACTTCCAGATTGCACACCCCTATTGCTTCATGAGTTTAATTTTGATTCTGTTGTATTGCCAGATTCTCCACACATTGTAGACTTCACTAGGCTGATTTGAAATGTTCTACTCTTCGAGATCTTGCTTCTCAAGATTAGGTTTTTGTTTTTATTAAACAACTCAACCTTATTGAAGCCTCCCATTACTACAGTAAAACTCTTTTGAATAAGTTGGCCAGTACTCAGAAGATTGCATCTCATTATAGGCACAAACAACACATTAATTATAATGGCACACGAGTCATTCTTCCTTCTGATAACAACATCACCAATTCCCTCTACCTTCGAAGTGTTGTCACCAGGAAATTTCACCCTACTCTTCTTGGTTTCATCAAAATTCACCAACCATTCTCTGTGGCAAGTCATATGATTCGAACATCCCGAATCCAAATACCACATTTGATCTTGAGAGTGTGAGCTTATTGTAGATGTAGTTGCCATCAATGTGAGGGGTTCTGAATCAGACTCTTCTTAAGCTATGTAGGCCTCCTTTCCTTGACCCTTATTCTGCTCTTCCTGTCCAGCATGACACTCATAAGAGTAGTGCTCGTACTTATGACAATTGAAACATTCAACATTCCTCTTGTCTTTCTTGTGAAAGTTCTTATCTGGTTTGCCTTCCTCCTCTGTTGAAGACTCATCTTGATCATCTTTGGTTCTATCATTTCTCCACTTCCCTTTACCATGTTTGCCTTTCCATTTCTCGAATGTTTTCTTCTCTTCATTCTTGGAATCATGCACCTTTAATGCATGTTCATCAATCCTAATTGGATTTCTTTCAAACAACCTCATCTCGTGTGCTTCNGAAATTTCACCCTACTCTTCTTGGTTTCATCAAAATTCACCAACCATTCTCTGTGGCAAGTCATATGATTCGAACATCCCGAATCCAAATACCACATTTGATCTTGAGAGTGTGAGCTTATTGTAGATGTAGTTGCCATCAATGTGAGGGGTTCTGAATCAGACTCTTCTTAAGCTATGTAGGCCTCCTTTCCTTGACCCTTATTCTGCTCTTCCTGTCCAGCATGACACTCATAAGAGTAGTGCTCGTACTTATGACAATTGAAACATTCAACATTCCTCTTGTCTTTCTTGTGAAAGTTCTTATCTGGTTTGCCTTCCTCCTCTGTTGAAGACTCATCTTGATCATCTTTGGTTCTATCATTTCTCCACTTCCCTTTACCATGTTTGCCTTTCCATTTCTCGAATGTTTTCTTCTCTTCATTCTTGGAATCATGCACCTTTAATGCATGTTCATCAATCCTAATTGGATTTCTTTCAAACAACCTCATCTCGTGTGCTTCCAAGGAGCTTTGCAATTCTTCTATCTTCATCTTATTAAGCTCTTTTGACTCTTCTATAGCCACAACTATGTAATCGAATTTTTGAGGCAAAGACCTCATGATCTTTTCAATGACCATTAAGTCCGTGATGACTTCGCTGCATGAGTTCATTTGATTGGTGATGGCAATCACTTTGTCAAAGTACTCTCTCACTCTATCACCTTGCATCATCTTCATCAACTCATACTGCCTCCTTAACGTCTGCAACTTGACCTTCTTGATCTTTTCACCTCTAGTATGACACCTAATCAAGATACTCCAAGCTTCCCTCGTAGTCTTCACATGCTGAATTTTCTCAAAGTGAACATCGTCTACACATTGGTGAATAATGAACAACGCTTTATTGTCTTTCTTTCTCTCCTCGGCCTTCTGATCATCAGCTACACCCGCAGGAAATTCTTGATGATCGCCTTCAACCACTTCAAGCACATCTTGATATTTGAATAGGACTCGCATTTGTGTACTTCATCTACTCCAATTTTTCTCCATGAGAGATTAGCGGACGACATATCACTGTTAGTCATTCTTTGCACCTTCGATCTTTCACCAAGAAACCAATGTAAGTAATAAATAAAATTCATGAATGACATGAATTAGAGAGTTGAGAATAGAAAAATAACTTAAGATTTCAACTGATTATACTCATTTTATTCTACGCGACATTTTTATAAAGTGATATTTGATTAAGAAAAAGAGTTGAGATTTGAAAATACAAAAAGAATTATAAAAATAGTAATTTTTATAAAATAAATAGTGAAATGAATAAACTTTTAATTGATATACTTAGAATTTAAATTGAAAACTAATATTTGCAATCAAAATAATCTTTTGTGAAGAAAAATTACTCACAACATTCAAATAAGGAGAAACATCCAGGGTTCAATCGACGAGCAGTTGCAGTTCCTGAATTTCATGAATGCAATTTATATTTAGTATTGAAGAAGTAAATTTGTTGAGCAGAATAGAGAAAGAAAAGAGGAAATGGGTGAGACAGTATTAATTAATAGCAAAAGAGTGGAAACTTAATTGTTATCCATTAACATCCGTACTCAAGAAGGAAGAAAGGAGGTTACAACTTGCAAACCCATGTGCATACAGACAACTTTGCTTTCCGTATCTCTTCCTGTCAAAACTTTTGTATTCTAATTTAATCTCATTTTTAAACCATTATGATAAAATCTTAATATAAAAACATTACTACTTTAATAATAAGATAGATTTATAATATATATATATATATATATATGCAAGTATTATCTTATAAAGAGGTTTGAGATTGGTTGTTTGTTAGATTTATTATGTGATTAGTATCGAACTATCGTTAATATTTAGTTATATGTTCTTAATATATATGTTTATAAGTGTGTTAAAAATCTAGAACAAGCAAATTTCTAATACATAAGTAATTATAAATTTCATAAGTCTAATTTAATGGATAGAAAATTTCAACAAACAATGAACTACCAAAAATGGATAGAAAATGAATTATCATCTAGTATTTTAATTAGATTTAAAATTATTTATAATTTGGTTTTCTTATTTTCGAAAGTAATAGATTAAATTTCTTACTCAACGATGTTAAATTTTATCTAATCTGATATACAAGTTTTGTTGTGACATATACATTATTTACACGTACCTAGTTAATTTTAAACAAAAACGCCAAGCTTTCGTCCATGTGGCAATGGAATGGGTTGTGTCCCAAGGAAAACTACATTATCATGCACTAGTTGAGACATTAACACAGTCAACCTAGGCCCACCATAACAAGCATACTTCGTATCAGGACCATCATATAGACCGACAGGAATTCCCCTTTAGGTTTGCTTATGATTTTCATTCCTACTTTTGTTCTCTGTTTTCACCTTTTCAGTCATAACAAAATCAAGTCATGATTCAATGAATGCAAAAAAGCTTGCTTACTTCAGTATGACAATGTACGCATCAATGTGAAATATCCATCAATAAAATTTGGCAGATTCGTCTCTAAGAATATTTAAACTCAGTACAGCAATAAAAAAACAGCTTAATTTGGTAGCCATATTCATATAAGGCAGAATGTTTGTGGAGTTTAAAAATACCAAAAAGTGGGAAACGTAATGTAATGCGGTGATATGCATGTATTCACTGACTAAAATGTGGAACGCTCGAAGATACAAATTGAAACCAAATAAACCGTACAAACATTAGCTTCCACCACATCATTTATGCTGTACGTGTTGTCTCAACAAAACAAAACAACACCACAACCACAGCTCAGCACCGAGCAATGCAAAGAAATATATGCACACCCCATAAAAACATGCATAAGAAATATAGGATAATACAAATAAAATATGTATCTACAAAAAATGACATTAACCATAGAACATACATATCGGTGGAAGCATCAAGACTTTCACGTTCACTTTGTCCTTCCTGTCAAGAGAAATAATTGTCATTAATTTATGTGCAGAAAAAATTTGGTGTATAAAGAAATGCCGTAGACCAACTTCATCTGCACTTCAATTAACTTCCACTTTTCTTTCCCGAGATTTAATGTTTCTTCATCACCATCATCGTACAAGACCTAAAATAAAGAACATATGTTAGAAGATAAAACAGTAGGGACAAGTTCCGAATTCCATCATGGGCACAGCAGCATAAAAAGAACAAAAAGAATAAGTTTAATGTCAATAATGGAACGGGAGAGGATAGAGAGATGACTTGATAAACTGTCAAATCACCTTGCGCTTCTTTTTGCCAGAATAAGAAAAATGAATAACACCTTTGTAAAACCTGTAACAAATGAGGTATGTGTGAAAATTTCTAGCAAATATTTCTATTATATAAAAATGAACAGGCAATCTAATCATAAACCTAATGTGCATGATATGGCCTGGTTTTATAAAAACACATATTCCCTCCTTATTTCACATCAAACGTAAACCCTGGTTTAATTATTACAAAACAGTTTCACATACAAACGGATAAAGAAAATCTAGAACACAAACCATCAAGACCACAATAACTTCAACAGAATGGTTTACAAAACGATGCATGTAATAAATGTGACTGTGATACAAGTAATGCAAACATCATGAACTCAAAGCAACATTAGTCCAGATTAAGATGTGTAAAAACAAATGTTCCCCAGCTAAGACAACCATAAAAGAACTAGAGATTATAATTTGAAAGTAAATGCCAAATAACAAGAAGCACTTCCTGACCCCTTATTAACTGAAATTTCCAGCAACAGCAAGTCAAAATGGAAGTCATGCTAAGTACTTACTCACAATCCTAAAGGTTTTCACCATAGTCCTTCACATCAGACTCCTGGTACAGGAAAAAGATAATTATCAACCAAAGCAAGAACACAATGAAACTTTTTAAATTAGCAAGACCAACATAAAGGATTTTCCCAAAACAAAGGTTCCCTTACAAATATATCAAGGAAGTTCCAGTATCATAATTTAAAAATTCAGAGGGAAAAGGATATACATTTTCTTTTCCTGAACTGTGTTTCCTTTTCAAATTTGTCTTGGGAGTCTCCTCTGAACTTTCATCTTTAGTTGATTTTGTACCAGGCCTTGGAGAAGAAACCACTTCCTAAATAATTAAAATTGATTTGTTTAATGCTTTACTTGAAAAAAAAAACAAAGCAGAATAAAACATGCAGCAATAATGATAATATATAGAAGCGAACACCTATAAAGTGTGAAAAATACCCTATCCACATCAGTAGCAGTTGATTTTGCCAGATCTGTTTCAGGGTTAGCTTTCGTCTTCCCTCCACCATGGAGGTTCTTACTTTGTGGAGAAGCAACTTCAGATTCATTGTTGTATACCGTTGGTGATAAAGTCTTAGCATCAACCTCTTTGTCATTCTCTGAAGGTCCTGCTGCTTCAACTAAATGGTCCACGTGAGGGGAACTGGACACTTTCTTGCTGTTGTTTTTGAGCTTTTTCTCAGTTTCCTTATCATTACTGTTGTCAACTTTTTCAGAGTCTAAATCATTACGCACCTCATGACCAGATATATTTAAACCTTCAGAGTGATTAGAGCATTCAGCATCCTCTTGCTTTTTAATGGACTTGGAATTAGTTAAAGCGCATGCAACACCATTGTTCATGACCGACTTTGGAGATATATTCACATCAGGATTTTCTTGTTGAGAGGGACTACTAACTTCCCTTGGATCCTTTTCGACTACCTGATAGAAGCACAATCAACATGTTCCGGTGTTCAATTCCGGATGACAACTTCAGAGCCACAAGATATATAAAACACAAAAAACATTAAAGTGGGGCCATACATGTGCTGACTTCTCACGTGGTCGTTTTGCCAACTCATTCTTAAAATTAAAAATTGATTTGTTTAATGCTTTACTTGAAAAAAAACAAAGCAGAATAAAACATGCAGCAATAATGATAATATACAGAAGCAAACACGTATAAAGTGTGAAAAATACTCTGTCCAAATCGGTAGCAGTTGATTTTGCTAGATCTGTTTCAGGGTTAGCTTTCGTCCTCCCTCCCTTTTTCTTGTCCCCAATCTGTTCTGAAGAGGACCCGCCATTACCCTTTTCTTGTTTCAAGGTTAACTCTTGGATTGGATTAACATTTTCTTGTGGTTCAACCATCACCTCAATCGCTCTGTTATTTATTAAAAAAAATAAACCAAAGCTAAGGAAAAATTGTGCATTAAGCATATCAAAGCATATCAATCGCTCTGTCTTGGACACGGTTTGTCTATTATATCTCTGAACCCTCTTCTGTATTTTGTTCAAGTGCACCGAAAAATGATGTCGTGAAAAAGTTCTTAGGATCCATATTAAATATATATATATATCAATTGACACGCTGCAAATAAAAGTGAACAACTGGTATAAGATCTAGCAGAGTTGGAAGATTCTACATTCAGAAAATTCTAATGTTAACATGTGCATTCGTAGATAAGTACCAAATAACATATGCCCTGTTAACAAGTTCAAGAAACTATCCCATCAATCCATCTCTCACAATTTTGGGAAGAACCTTGACAAAAAGCCTTCAAGACAATGTGCGATTTACAAATGAATAAAAGAGCTGTTTTCAGAGTGTTAAAAACTTACTGAATAATTCACAATGCAGTGTATCCGCCTTCGAAACCGTTTTATCCAGCGCAGAATAACAAAAGCTTAAAAGATTGAATCACAAAACCAAGCCAAAGGCAAAATAAAAAAACAGAAGAAACACATCACTGTCATACTAATAATAACTCGCTGTCAACAAAACAAGAAATTTAGTGCTCACTTGTCATGCCAAAAAATTAGGATCTAACTTTAGAAAACGTCAGGGTCGACCCAGGGGCTTAGATTAGAATGACAAGTCTATCTGGAATTAAAAAATACACTGGTACAACACCTAAATCTCAAGAGAGCACTCTTCCTCTACGGGAACAACTTCCTATCTACACACAAAGAATATCCAAAAGCTCTTCTGCCACCAGAACCCCTACCTTTTTATAAAGGCAACCCAATCAGCTAACCAACTTCTAACTAATTCTTAAACTGTTTCTATCTTGCACCCATTATATTATATCCTATCAATTACTACATTTTAAATGTATCGTTGTATTTTTGCTTTGTATGTGTTCCAATTGTTGAGTTTTTCTAAGGTAACATTGTTGGTATGTGAGTGAATATATGATTTTGCATATGAATATTATTTGTTAGCATTCTTTTACGTTTAATCAGTGACAGATTATGGCATGCGTTTTTAGCTTTCTATATTGCCCTTATTACTCCTTTCGAGTTTGGATTTATGGGTATACCACCGTGTTCCCTTTCTATCACAGACACAGTGGTGAATGGTTTTTCGTTGCTTACATAGATAAAGAGACTCGTATACTCCGGTATCGCGCATGTTTTCTTATTGATATGATTTGCACTCTCT